CTTTCAAATCTTTGTAGATACAAGGTCATCATGTAACACAGTATTCAGGAGTTCTAAATAAGGAAGAGTCTTCAGCCAACTCAACTAATAATTAGTGAAGGTCACGGAAGAATGAGATTAACTATAGGCAAGATCTGGTCTGCAGAAGGCAGGTGAGATTTATAAAGGAGAAACAGGATGGACATTTCCAATTTGGTGAAGATGATCAAGAAGGAGAGGCAATGAAATGGCAGGAAGAAAATAGGAAGCAGATAAGTATATCTTATAAGGGTAGGCTAGTAAATAGATGAGTAGGTGAGCTTAAAATAGAACTGATGCCTCTAATTCTAAACAGCAAATTCTTATTATGCCTCTTTGCTCCTCCTAACTATTCTTCCTGTCTCCATTCTAGCAACACCTTCCAAGAAATTCTCCATTGTCATTAAGTTCCTTTATGAAACACAATTTCTGATCAGATCTGAATTTTGTTTTAATTTCTTCACTGGACTGCAGATAGAAGTAGAAACTCTAATGTGGCTTAAAAATATCCATCATGATCTCTACTCTGTATCTTTTCTAGAGTACCTTTTGTTTCAGTCATACATACCTACCAGAGTTCCTTTATTGGGCATGTTTCCACATCTCTCTACCTTTGTATATATTCTTCTTCAACAAATGCCTTATTCTACAAATCTGATACAAATGTCAACTACTATGTTGTCTTTCCTTACCACACTCAAGCATTCAATTCAAACTAGATGCCTTTTTATGTTTTTACAAAATTCTCCTATGCATATTCCTATCATTCCTCATCATACAGCCCTTTATTCATTAGCTCCTGTCTCTTTCACTAGATTATGAACAACAATATGTACCAGCCTTCAGAATAAAGCCTAACATGTAGTAGATGCTCAGTTAGTAGATGCTCAGTAAATATTTGCAAGATAAATTAAATCATTGTGCTTAATCTAACACCAAAACATGAATTACCCAATTAAAAACAAATAACAAAATGCTCACAGTTATATAACAGAAAATTCTGTTACTTCAAGTTATTAATTTGTCTCTAATATTAATTTTATTGTTTAAAGAATCAACAACTTCAGAAATTATCCAAAAGAAAAAAAAAAGTCAAAATGCAAAACCATCAACGAATGTTAAGCCACTCTACTCCATTATGTTATGTGAGGGTTGTCAGCTCTCCTTAACACTAGACTCTCTCTTTTTTAAACTTTATATATTTATTAATGCCAGATCTGAGGTACAGGCCAGAGGTGTTGGGTTGAGACAGAGGCAGAGTGGGGAGCCAAATAAGCAGACTAACTGAACTACACTTCTGGGGGGGAGCAACAGGCAAGGCAGGAGAGGTCTGCTGCACCACAGGGTCATCTCCCTGCCTGGGGATGGGAACTCATGCTACAGTGGTTGTAGATAGCTTCATAGTGCTGTGCTTTAACAACTTGTGCCACCAGGGAGGCCCCAACACTAACGGTAAAGCACAGACTTAAATATGGGTGATTAAAATGTAGGTCCTTCCTAAGACTTCTAGCGCTCTCTCTACTAATCAGTTTGACAAAATACATTCCATGGTTGACATCAAATTACTGATTAACCTAAGATTCATGCTATTTGATGATATGCTACAATCTGGACCTAACCAAATAGTTACTTAACATACACTGCTCTACTACTAACGCATTATTATTTAAGGTGCTATGAGTCCAAGACAAGCTTGTCTTCATTAAAAATAATCCAAACAGGGCCCTCCCTGGTGACGCAGCGGGTTAAAGCACAGCACTGAGAAACTAGAGCCACTTCCGTGTGAGTTCGATTCCTGCCTGCCCCGGAGATGATCACATGGAGTGGCAGACCTCTCCTGACCCGCCCGCTGATCCCCTCAGCAGTGTACTTCACAGATCTGCCTGTTCTGCTCCCCACTCTGTCTCTGGTGAAGCCTCTCGCAGCCTCTGACCTGTACCCCAGTTCTGTATGAACAAATAAATAAATCTTAAAAAAAATAATAATCCAAACAAAATGATCACTATGAGGATGCACAGATGAAGAAAATTTAAATGAATCCTGTTAAGTTTTCATTTAATCTTAAACATAAATTGTTAAAAGTCCTGAAATGTCACTCTGAAAAAAATTCTCACTAACATCCATCAAACATGTTATGATACTAAGATGAAAGTACTTCTTTACATAAAACATTCCTTCCTTTCCCAGTTTTCCAGATCCATGAGTAACAAAGTGAAAACAACTGAACACAAGCTGTATTCTTTATGAATCCACTAAACTATAGCTACTGAGTTCAGTTTTCCATGTGGTAGAAATTTTCACCTTAGCTAACACTATATAGACATTGTATAGCTAACTTTTTTTACCCTTAGATGATTTGATTTATCTTCACTATCACTATCAGTTGTATGTAAGGTCAGTGCTATTCTCCTCCTTTCATCACTGACTACCTTTACTCCCCAGTAATTTCAATGGAATCAACTGGCATTTTCTTTACTCTCTTTGATAACCTACTAGCTTGTATACTTCTATAGGTGACATATAACTTTAAGAAATTAATGAAAGTTATAGAACACAGAAAAATAATGTACTTATCTATTATATATACACTCAAATTTTTCATATAATTTCTGCAGTTTAAGAACCCCTATGCTCACAATCACCTACACAAATAATTATTTATTGCCTATGGTTCTTTCATAATCCAACACAACTCATTTACACTCAAAATTAAGGATCATTACAGTGATTATTAACATAATACTCAAATTACCAAAATTTGGTTGACGTAAACCTTTATCTCACTAGCAATATTTTAAGCTAAGAATCCCAAATCAATTCCTCCCTAAAAGGCTTTAGAAGAACATATTATGCACTTCAAGAGGACAACTCAAAATTAGGCACTTATAAAAAAAAAGTTTACCAAGTCTTGTTTTGGGCCAACATGCTTACCTTAAAATATGCTATAATGTGTTCCTAAATTTATTTTTATTAATTCTGACACATCCACCTGTAAAATTGCATACTACTCATAATGTTATGTTTTATCAAATATGAAAACTCATTAATATTAACACACACTCTGATTCCAACACTTGTTCTAGAATATCAAGCTATGTTCAACACAGAACAGTATTAGTTAGGAACTGAAAGTGATACCATCTCATAATTATCCAGTTACCTTGTCAATGCAAGTAAAACATAAAAGATGGAACAGGACAAATGACCATGAAGAAAGGAAGAATATAATCAAGGTGTTATTACTAACAGACAGATATAAGTGCTTTTTCTTGACAGCATATTCTCTAAAAGTAAAAGGTTCTTGCTGGATATACCAAGCTATTTGTGGAAACCATCTGTTTGCGTTTTATTTTTGCTTAAACTTTTAGGACAGTTTAAACCACAGTTTTGTATAGGATCAAAAAAAGAAGAAGAAGGGAAATAAGATCACCCTTTTATCAAAAACTGATAAATGTCAAAACCAAGGCATCAGAATTTTTAGATAGGCTGACCTTTATAATACACTAACAAAACTTTTCTGACTTTCATGATGATGGGGCACCCATTAAATCCATTAAACCTCTACCAGCATGGACAATTCACAAGCAGCTTGTGATTCATTGTCCTCACTTGTAAATGTTGGAGTAACAGGACACATGGAAGTAAGCAAGTTTCCAATTCACCTCAAGTTAGGGTGCACTGATGGATGAGACCATACACTTGTCAATTTCTACCGCACCAGGTCCCTTCCGACAGAGTGAAAGGCTTCATATTTCTTGAAATGACAATGCTTTGACCCTTTTCCAATATTATGGACATCCCATAAATGAAAAGCAAATAGGCGGCAAGAGAGAGAAGTGCAACAATTATACGCCAAATGGCAAGATGCCATAAAAAACAGCTCTAGTTATAGGTCACCATCTCCTTCCTTATTGTAGTTAAGTTGTTTAAAACTGAAAACTAGATGTGCAACATGTGGCTTGTGCTACAGATCTAAACGAAGAACCTTTGGTCAAGAAGGAGGATTCGCTGAAGTTATGTTGGAAAACCGTTTCCCCTTTTGCCATCAGAACTAGAAAGTTTACACAAAAGAGGAACTTTTTAAACTGATGAATTGAAGAACCTCCAGTATTTCCCAATCTATGCCAGGCCCCAGAGATTTCATTTCTCTGCGCATTAAGTCAGTGACAGGAAATGGACTGCTAGGGCTGGTTCACACACTCAAAGCCCGTAGACTTGCGGAGTCCGCCTATTGCTCTCGAGGGTCCTTACCCAACTAAGGGAAAGAACTGTAACGTTGCCTAGCACACACACGAAAGTTGGTGGTACCTCAACCAGTCTGCAACTCCCATTCTCGCCCCCTCTCCCACTCTTCCAAAGAAGTCTTTCTTGGGAGAGCACATGGAAAGGCTGGGCGGAAAAAAAAAAGAAGAAAAAAAAAAACGCACGTAGGCGCCTCTTCCCAGGATTTCTGGCAAAATGGAAAGACAGAGAGCCTACGTTGTGTGTGTGTGGTTGTTCGGTTGTTTTGTGGCTTTCGGTTTTTGAGGTGCAAGTCCGTGGGTGGGCTCCCAAGTATTTGGATTAAAAAGAAGAGGTACTCCCCGCCGGGCCCAAAGCGTTAAAAAGGCAAAACCCAGCAACTGACAGGAGTGGGAGGGAAACAGGATCGTTCAAAGGTTCGTGGCCACAAGTTAGACAAACAACAACAGACCCTAGCCCGTATTCCGGGTTTCCCCAAGTTGGGGTGGGGCCCTTCCCCTTCCCGCACTGCTTCCCGAGCTGACACGAGTGAAAAAGGGGTTAAAGGGAGAAGGGGGTGCTCTTCCGCCCCCACGCCGTCTCCGCGCCTCCGCGGGGCCGCGCCTCGAGCGGCTCCCTGAGTTGCACAGCGAGGTCGCGGTCACCCTAGGGAGGGGGCCCCGGGTCCCCCGTGTTCAACGGCAGGAGGAGCCGGGGCTCTCGCTGTCCCCAAGGCCGGCGGGGACTGCGGGAGCACTCACCAATTTGGGTTTGTTTTTCGTTTCCTCTTCGTAGGCGGCCCGGTTCCCTGCGTTCCGCTTGTTGCTTCGGCCCCCACCGGCTTCCTCGCTGCTGCCTCCCGCTCCTGACGCCGCCGCCCCGGGCTGCTCCATCTTTCTCCGGCCCTGTCACCTGTGCCCTTAACCCCCCCTTTGCTCCACTGAGGAGCCCCTCGGGGCAGTTCCCCGCTCTTTCGGCAGCAGCTCTTCCTGGGTGCGAATGTGTCTGCCCAGTAGAGCTGCGGGTTCCAGGCCCCAGGGTTCCCGAGTCTCAGGCACCCACGACGCAACGCGCCGTTGCCACTACTCTGCGCTGGGGCAAGCCCTGCCCCTGAGCAGCTGCAATCACCACGGCCGCCGCCACCACCCTCAGGGCGGTGTTTAGGGTGGAGGGAAAGTGGGTGCCTATCTCTTTAAGAGGCCTCCACACACGTGATTCATCAAAGTGCCGGCAGCCAGTTGCCCGGGCGCGGAGGGCGGCTTCCTACTCGGGTGCCGCGCGGGTCCGGGCTACTGAGCATGCCCGGCCCTGGGAAGGGAGCTAAGGACAGTGATTTCGCTGCGGTGAAGCACGGATTTCACTTCCTAAGGGCCTAGCGTGAAATGGGAGGGAACTAGTCAATAAACAGGAAGAGCAGCCCATTTTAGAGATAGGGAAACTGAGGACCAGCAGAATTCCCGTGGTTCCCTGGCCGGTCTACCTGACAATCTGCTTCCTCTAGTATAGGCCAGAGGGCCAACCAGTCCGGGCCCTGCTGGGGGTGTGTCCTGCTGTGCCCTGTGGGAGAAGTTGATTGGCAAGGCCACTGGCATCCTATAGGAAATCCACCCCCGAAGAGGTTGATGGCCTCAACAAGACTATGGGTCAAAGTGGAAAGAGTGATTGTAAATGGGGTTGTATTCCTTCTTTCCCTTTCTTCTGATATATCGTTTGCATGTGGAAATGCAACTGATTTTTGTGCACTGATTTTTGTATCCTGCGACTTTATGTAGCCGTTTGTTATTTCTACTGGTTTTTTGGTAGAGTCTTTTGGGTATGAGTGCAGGAGGAATTAGGAGCAAGGAAAGAGAGGTAGAACTATGTTTCTTTAAATATATCTTGGTTTGATTTTTCAATTGGGAAATATTTTACATAATTTTTAAAATGATTTTTTTATTTTAAAAGTATCTTAACACATCTTAAGAAAACAAATGGATCTAACTATGTATGTAATTGATGACACAGGAACTGTATTGACTTTAATAAAACACTTCAGAGATTGATCACCATAAGGACAAAAGCACCTGGAAAAATAAATTGAGCCATTTTTGAAGAAAAAAAAAAAGTGGAAAGAGCGGATGGGTTCTGTTGCTATGATTACCTCATGACGCAAGAAATACAGTCATTCCTTTATTCCCATACTGGTGGGTCGTAGATGCAGCAGGCTCCCACCAATAAACCACAAGGTGGGGGGTTACAGATATACCCAAAGCACTTTTATAAAGCTAGTAATCGAATTGAGTACGATTTTTCAGTTTCCCAAACTAGTTTAAGTTTAGGGTTTTTTGGTTTTTGTTTTTTCAGTGATTGAGTAAGATGTAAGTCAATGTTTTATTCAAAATGTAAATCTCTCAGTTCTCACTGTTGGCACAAGGGGTTAAGTCTCAGCACTGTGAAGATATGGCAGCCACTGCAACAAGACTTGGCTCCCTGTCCAGGGAGGTGACCCACATGGGTGGCAGACTCTCCTGTCTGGCCCCTGCTCCCCTCAGCAGTGTATTTCAGTAGATCTATGCGTTCTGCTCCCCCCTCTGTCTCTGGTGAATCCTCTCACTCCTCACACCTCTGGCTTGTACCCCCGTTCTTCTAGTAAAAATAAATAAAATCTTTTTTAAAAAATGTAAATCTCTAGACAAATGCTTGGTCTTTCTGTGTAGTAACAGGGACCAGCAGGTGCTGATACTCTTTAGTTCTTGGGTGCGGGAAAGCACCCACATGCTATATTTCTTCCATCCTTTTTAGACAGGACTCTTTATGAATAATGTTCACATTATTGGGGCAGAGCAGGATTTAACTGAAACACCATTATAGAATAAGAACATATTGCTTAGAAGCTACCTGAAATGTAAACTCAGATACCCACTCTATATACATGTCCATATGACTGTTACTCAGATATCTTCAGGCTATGACTCCTTTTGCCCTTCTCCCCTTCAACCTAAATTCAGCTATGCTGCACCTGAGAATGCGTTAGGATGAATTTATCCATGTTCTATGGGTGAGGCAATTAGTTTGGACAGTAGAGTGAAAAAAAAAAAAAAACTAGATATCTGAAAAAAAATTAAATCCTAACTTTGTCGTTGTCATTAATGTTATTTTTAATTGTGCATTAGATTAGCCTATTTAATCTATTCAAAAATTTCTGACCTGCTGAAGACCTCCAGTCAGAGTCAACAAGGAGATCTGAGAAATTTGCTTTGCGAAAGTTCCTGTTTGACTTAAAGTTTTGGTATATTTTTATTTTGGCTCATTACACACACCTACACATACATGTATGATTTAAATTATTTAAATGTATCCCCTCCTTTAAAAATTTAGTAAAATGGATGCTGCAGAAAGATGTAAACTATTTATCCTATGCTTTCATGTAATTCCTGTTTAAGAGATGTGGGTGTGGGCCAAGGCTGAGGAGGACCCTCAGCCTTGCTCAGTAATCTGATCAGTAATCTGCTCATAGATATTTATTGAGCTCCTTGGGAGTGTACTATATGACATACAGAGTGCTGTGGAGTACAAGGTAGAAGTTAATGTATCTTATCTTTAGCTCCTCACAGTGTTTTGAAAGAAAACCCATACTGGACAGGGAGGTAACCACCAAAGTACCAGAGGCCCTGGGACACCTTCCCAAATGATGATGATGTTTGAGGTGAGTCTTAAGGGTCTAATTAGTACGTAATAGTTGAAAGCCTACTAAGTGTTAAGTTACTGTGTAGGAATTACAGCTACATTGACATAGAAAACAGACATAATATGCTCTTAGACAGTTTTCAGCCTATTGGGAAGGACATTGAACAGAAATGTAATCGAACAATTACAAAGCTAAGAGGGAAAGTGAAGAGCATTCCAGGTGAAGGAAATGACAATAGCATGTGCAAAGATCTGACAGTTAGGAAATTGAGAGCAGTCGGCTGTTGGCAAGAGACACAGAACAGATAAGCAGCTTCCAGATCATGAAGGTCTTTACTTGTAAGTCATTAGTGTGGTTTTCAAAGGGGTGAAGGTGTTGCAAGACAAATGACTTCTGCTTGGAGTATGTATATAGACTTGAAAACAGATTCACATTATTTTGAATATAAAACTGTGTTAGCTATATTTGCGATGCAATTTGAGGTAGGTATATATAAAAGAAGCCTAATCCTTACTGCTAAAAGAGAAAAAGTCTGTCCCTGATAAGACATACCTCTTTATTGTGTATGTCAACATCTTAATTTTGATAATTGTTTTTCAATATTTTGCTCCAGTTAATAGAAACAACAGTAATTAAAATTATACAAACTCCTGTCAGGCATCAGAGGCATTGGCCTATCTTGGAAGCTAGTACACAGAAGGACCCTGTCCACTGATAATAAACAAGGCAATTCAGCAAGTGAAGTCCAAAGGCTGCTCTCACTGCACCTCCATTCCTTGCTTTTTACACTCCTGGGACTCACAAATAGACTGGCAAATGAAGAGACTTTTTTTTTTTTCTTATGATGAAGAAAAACCTACTGCCAACAGCTAGGATATTAAAAAATGTATGTTAAACACCACCAACCTTGCAGCCCCTCCCTCTGCCTGCTCATGAATTTAGCACCCATTCACCATTAAAATGTCCTAGAAGAAAAGCTAAAGGGCTGCTAGATGCTGCCCTACTTCAAACTGCACTTAGAACAAATCAATTACCCCCAGAGATTTCTGAGGATCCTTGTCATATCCCTCTAGCTTTCTGTGCCTCCCATGTGCTTCCTGTTGTCATATTAGTGACTGGATCATTAATAGAGAAAGAACACATTAATTCAACACAAATGAGAAACAGCCACCTTCAGGGTCATAAAAATATTTATGAAATAAAAACTTGCCTAAAGTAAATATTAAGTATCTATTATACTATGTAACTAATACCAAACTAGCTGTCCTAAATGTACTCAGCTTTATTTTTCAACATTTAATGAAAGGTCTTGTTGACCTCAGTATCAGAACTTGGAACTTCACCAGATAGTTTAATATTGTGGGAAACTTAGAGTTTGCTGAAGCCACTAGATTGGTTACATCAAAGGGGCAGAGTCTTGTACAAGAGTCTTCTGTATTTCATAAATTCTTCATATATTGATAAAATTTCTCCTTAATTGTGAGAATGCTTGTCCTGAATCTCCTAAAAACCTAACACATGAACCAGCTAGATTCCCCTTTATTTTGGTATCGTTCTCCTAATTTCCAGTCACTAATCTGCTATTCATGGTTCACAAACACTTGTCATGGACCAGATGGTAAAATATCTCTACCATATAGGTTTAAATTTTACTTGAGGAAACAAATTAGAAAAAAAGTGTATGGAACTGTACTATAAGGAAATTAACATCTTAACCCAGAGACATTGCCTTTAAATTCAATATAATATGGTAAATTTAGTTGAGGCTTGTATAGATGAAGACATTTTCAAGGAGGAGGTAAAACATGAGCTGCTGAGCTATGAAGCAGAAATCAGACGTAAGAGGCAAAGCAAAATGAGGATGTATGGAGAAGACAATCTATGAAATGGTCTGGAAACAATACTGACCAATAATTTTAAGGAGCCAGTGGAGCTTGATTAGAATGGGGAGAACATGAATGTTAAATTATAGCTGGAAACATGGGTGTCACCATAACATTTTCCAGTATGTAAACAGATTGAAATGTAAGACACAATAATAGTATTTGGTAAGGATTTTTAGCAAAAGTGTTACAAGTAATTATTTTGAGGAGCTGCTCTGGCAATGGCATGTAGAGTAAGTTTGACCACTGGTTTTCAAACTTAGTACTTTAGTACGGGACTATTTTTCCTAACTGAAATTCTTCACAGAACTCCAATATGCACAACAGATACAAATCTAGCTGACCTGTTTGAGGTTAGGAAGAGAATGGAGACTACAGTCCCACTCATATCCGCTTGGCTTCTCTCTCCTGCTCTGTGGCAATGCTCTAAGGCACCACTACTGAATTCTACTAAAAGTAGATAAAGTCCTGCCAGATAAAGATGGGGGAATTGAAACTAAATTGTTCCCAGGGGAATTGAAGAGACAAGAATGTATCCAAAATATGTTTAAAAGGAGCAAACTGTTCCTCTCCACAAATTATG